TGTATGGTAGTCATATGTGAGGTCATACCGAGCAGGGGAAAAACATATTTTCTTTTCAATACAAGAACTTGCACGCATAATATTAATAGAAAACAATTAAAAAATCTATAAGTTCTGCCGGGCCGAACTTTGAATACCCTTCACCATTTGGAACAAATTTAAAAATTTTTAAAAAAATAAAATCCGTTAAAATTTCTGTTAAAATTTTTAAAATACCGAATGTAGCCGTATATTAGTATCTATACGACGACGTGGACCTGCATAGGCAACTTTTGTCACAAGCTATTACAATACTCAAATGTGAAACTTGAAAAAAATCTGTTTATAATGTAGCTAAAATCATCAAAAATACCGAATATAGCGAGGTACCATGGGGGTTATAAAACGTGGACCTGTACAGACAATTTTCTGTCATAGGCTGTGTAACCATTACGAACTTCAAATGCGAAATTTGAAAAAATAAAATTTGTAAAATCATTAAAATACCGAATATCGGGGGTTCCTTTATGTGAGGGCTGTATATTTCGAGGTGTTACAAACGGAATGACGAACTCAATATACCCTCCATTTCAAAAAAAAAAAATATTGAAGAGTTACATTTGGAATGAATTATTTAATTTACCCTCCAGATATGATGATTGGCATTGATAAGTCAAATACATTGTAGTAATAATTTCCAAAAAACCCATTAAAAATTACTTGCTAACACTGGCTCTTAATATTGCCTGATTTGCATAAAAGGTTTAAAAAAAACTCCAGAAGGACAGATTAGCAAACCTAGTTAAACCGAATTAACAATTATGTCGATACGCATAGCATACTATAGCTGTCGGTCTATTTCTAAATGCATTTGAATTCCATTTTTTATAGAATTTTCACAAAGGTTTTTTTCTTTCTTTAATTCGTTGTTTAAAAACCGAACATTTCCAATTATTACTCGATTGTTTAGGCTATGAAAACATCTCAATTTCCCTAAACAATTTTTCTGGTAAAAAATTATAATATAAAATCCCATAATGTCTGCAATTTATCTAAAAAATTTGTTTATAGAAAGAAAATGAATAAATTTCCCTCCAACAAAAAAAAAAAAAAACAGTGAAACAATAACATTAAAAATTCACAATTGCCTGGATAATGAAAGATGAAAGAAGAAAACATATTTGTCAAACACCGAAGGCTTTTAAGATTTTCAACAGAAAGCACACCTCCTCCCAACCCAACCAACCAATGTTATCACCCGATAGTTACGATCACCGTCAGTGGCATTTGAATAACCGTTTATTTCATTTCAATAAGTAGCTTTTTACTGGAATATCTTGGAGACGAAGAAAGCCAAAAATTCCTGTTGGTTATTAACTTAGTTTATTCAAATTAGCTTTCCCATATTAGTCAAAAATGAATTTCTTAAATGAATAAAATTAAAAACCAAAGAAGTGGCTGCAGTCTCACGCGTCTTACGAACAGATGCATCGTTTGAGGAGATTTTTGTTTTGAAATCACCCATGTCAGACTTGTTTGTTAGTTAGGCTTTCACATTGTTCGAGCCGCTTTGTTTTGTTTATCATTTATTTGTGTGTTTGTTTTAAGGTTGTCGTTTTTTAACAAATGTCTTGTTGGTATTAGAAGATGAATTGTTGGCATTAACATACAAAAGCCAATTATAGGCCTTTTCTAAACTGTATTGAGGGTTTTCTGATAGCGGAGGTATTCCATGTAGAACCTATAATGGTGTTGTAGAGTTGGAAAAACTTCTACAGGTTTTCGATGAAAAGTGAACCTAGGCTAACAAATATATATATGTGCATGTATAGGAATATATGTGAAGAAACTTTGGATGAGTTTAAATTTGAATCGGATGGAACAAATGTATGGTAGCTAGGATATAGCAACTATATATTTGTTATTTCTTGATGAGTCGATTTCCACTAAATTTGAAGGAGGTACTCTTTTCTATTGTATGTGATCTATCGCAGCCTATATCACTGCTATAGAGTTTACATTATGACTTGGAAAAAGTTTGAATATAGAATTGGAATGAATAATACATATGAGAGCTGTATCTATATCTGAATCGATTACCTCCAAATTTGCTAGTTATAACCCGATCATATAATCCAAAATCAAAACTAGTTCAACAAACGGAACTTGAAATACCCTCCACCCATTGGGAACAATTTTGAAAAATAAAAAAAAGAAAATAAATAAATAAATGAAATAAAAAATAGAATCCATTAAAAATGCTGTTAAAATCTTAAAAATATCGAATAAAGAGAGGTATGGTTATATGGGGGCTATACAAAAACGTGGACCTGCACAAACTATTTTTTTTTGTCATAGGCTGTAGTATGCATTACGAACTTCAAATACCAAAATTGAAACAATTCCGGTGAATCAAAATATCGAATATAGGGAGGTAACGTTATAAGGGGGCTATACGAAGACCTAGGCCTGCATAGGGGATTTTCTGTCACAGACTTTACTACCCATTACAAACTATCATTACGAAATTTGATACAGATCCGGTGAATAATGAACCTAAAATCGTATAAATATCGAATATGGGGTGGTACCGATATATGGGATCTACAACTAAATGTGGACCTATGTAACCCATTTTCAATACCAAAAGTCCTGCAGACGAAACACACAATTGAGTACAATTTTATCAGCCTACTTAAATTCGTTCGGAAGGTAAGTGATTTCCACCGACATAGAATTTCATGCTGATCAAGCATATGATATGTTATACCCTCCATACTATGGTGCAGGGTATAAAAAAACCCACAAAGTTTCAGGTGCAGGGTATAAAAAAAAACCACAAAAAACCCTATAGGAATTTGCAATATCCCAATTGAGAGAAAAATATTCCGTGTGCTTTATATAATCTACATACAGAAATACCTGGAGGAAGGCGCTACATAAGTACAATTTGCAAACCTGAACCAATATTAGCATCGAAGGGAAGGTAGCCCTTACATACTTAAAATACGAAATTTCAAACATTTTTTTGCAAATTTGGGCGAAAATCGTAACAAAACGAGAGCTTCTGTCATGTAGAGGCTATAGGAAAAAGTGGACTTAAGAAATAATTCCGTTTAAAAAAATGTGAATTAAATCATCAAAATACCGAAAAAGGGGGGTGGGTTATATAATATGGGGATTATATGAAAACCTGAACCCATACGGACAATTATCTCCCAGAGAAAGTGGTAGTGGTTATATGGGGTCTACCACACAATTTGGACCTCTATGGACAGTTCAATGCAAGAATGTTTTCTGGCAATCAGAACAGCATGCCTTACAGAAAATTTGGTTAGTTGGTAACAAATAATGGACCAATGTGGCCCCCTTCTAAACATAATATACATTTCAGAAAAATATCAGAAGAAACCAGTAAGGAAACGTCAAAAGTCGGGCGGGACCGACTTTATGATACCCTACACCATTATGCATATTTAGTAGAGCTCCCGTAACAAAAGGATTAATTTCAATTAGATCATACCACCTATCAACATTTGGCTTTAGATCAGTTATAGTTTGCTATAGATCGCATGATATCACTTGGAGAGGATATCTGGTACGAAATATGATTGTCGTTGAATTAATTTTACGAATGTGAGGGACTTAAACCCAAAATTGGATGGAACATGTATGTGGGAGCTATAACTATATCTGAACATATTTTCACTTGCTGCGGTGGGATGTACCAAAATACAGGTAATTTGGACTTATATTAGCCATTTGATATACAATTAACCCGTTGAAGATACGTGGGAGCTATATCTAAATCTGATCCGATTAGCACCAATTTCAATAGGGTTCGTTCTTGGGACAAAAAAAAATATTTTTTTTGCAAATTTTCATCTCAATCGGATAATAAATGCCACCTGCATTCACAAGAATACATGGACGGACAGACGGACTGGCATGAATAAATCGACTCAGAAAATGATTCTATTAAGATTCTCAAAAGTAACTATGAGTCTATCTCACTTCCTTCTCCATGTTACAAACAAATGCACAAAGACATAATACCCTAACCACTATGTGGTGTAGGGTGTAAATATAGAAAAATATCAACCTACTTCATACCTTCGGACGCTAGATAAATTTTCTCAGCCGGGCGGACATGGCTAAATCGACATAGAATTTGATGCTGACATACATCTTGTGGGAACTAAAATAATTATTTCGATGAGTTACAAAGGGAATGACAAACTCAATATACCCTTCATAATTCGGTGGAGGTCACTGTAGATTTATTAATTTTTTATGAATTTTTAACTGAAAATTCTTCAATATGATGTTTCGAGATTTCAATAAGAAAACCCTCAAGTTTCGGCCAGCAGATGGTCTTCAATTTCCAAATGGGAATATCAATTTCTTTAGATCAAGCCTACTTCCCAAACTTAGTTTTTTTTTATACCAAACGTCAAGATTTAAGTCTAATCCGTTCATATAATACCAAATGGTACGCAGTCTATTGCCTTTTTGGTACCTTAAGTACCCTTATACTTCAAAATTTGATCCTCATTCCAAATTTAATTTTTTAATTATTTTTTTGGTACGTTTTAGTACACTAATAGTACGAATATCCAAACTACAGCTTTATTTAACACCGACATTGACCCACATGCAAAACTTCAAGATTCTAGCTACAGTCGTTCCGCGTGGACTTTGAATCAGTCACTCGCAGTCACAGTCAAGTACATCTTGCAAATTGAACGCAGTTTTCACCAAAATACTCAGACCGTTTATACATAAAAACGCTGGTATTGGCGTCATCTGTCATAGAAAGCTTGCAGAAATAAAATCGGTTCATGCTTTCCAGAGAACATCAATTACTAACAAAATGCAACTCATTATGCTCTACAAAACTTTGTGTTGAGGGTATTATGACTTTGATTGGACCAAAATGTTTGTAGCATCTTTAAATCTCGGCTCTCTACCCACGATCCTCCTATAATTTGCCTTATATAGATTTAATAATCAATACTTACATCAATATTAGGATATCCATATGAACTTTGGTAGAACACCAAAGTGGTGTAAATGATGATAACGCCTAAAGTCATTGCTTGTAATTGTCGTTTGTAACGTTGCGGCAATGACAGTAAAATAGAGCTCATACTTTAATGAACATCATTGGTGGAGAACTTGTTCAGCGTTCTGGTGTTTGGAGGTAATTCTTTTTTTATTTTTTACACAATGATCGCTTGTAATCCGCCGATCTAGAACAGAAGCACACACACGAACACTGAACGGAAATTTAATTAATTCTGAATTTGAAGCTTTGTGTTTTATTCTCGCTTTTTGTTCTCACAGCTCTGTTGAATTAAATTTTAGCACAATTTTTCTCGCTTTGCATTGTTTGGATTTTTTTTTCTTTTGGAGGGGGATAATTATTTTTCCAATGAACTTGATTTCAATTGACGGGGTTTACAAAAAATAGTTGGTTTTGTTTATAAACATACTTTTTTGCACTGTTTTTATTTTTTTAATTTATTTGTTGTTTATTGATTTTTTATTCACAAAACGAAGCTTCCATAGCTTTGGAGTTTGTAATTTAATTCCCACTTTTGTTTACAAAACAATGCCGCAAACTGCGTTTTTTTTATTCTCAAACGCAGAATGAATATTAAATAAACGTGAACATAAAAAAAAACAAGAAACGAACGCGCCACCAGTTGTATGCCCATGAAAAGTCCAATTGCGACTGATCAATGTTTTCAACTCAGAGATACTTTACGGTTCGGCTCACGGCCAACATAAGACACACAACAGACGGCAACAGATACAATTGGAAGTCGTTGGATATATCTGTTGCATGGCAATGATAAAACAGTGCTCAACAAGTGGTTGAAAGGCACAATCTGCTCTCTTCAATTTCCACTGAGGCATAAACCGGGCTCATGGACACAAACACACTCTCTCCATAGATAATGTGGCTGCTTGAAAATATGGCACAAGTCATTCTCGGCTCTCAGTTGTGCCAAGGCTTGTGTGTATTTTGGCATTGGAGCAAGTGAGGGTTAGTTCTCTCTCTCCTCTCTTCCATTTGATCACCAAACAACTGCAAATTTCCAATTGGTTCACTTCCAGTGGGATTTTTGTTTACATTCCTTTTGGATATAAACATGAGTATCTTTCAGATACTTTTGCTTTTCGTAGAGAGAAATAAAGTGAGAGAGAGAGAGAGAGCTCTTTATTCTCACTTTCTGCTTTGAATCTGTCTCAACTGGTTGATTTGATTTTTTGCACAAGGCAAAAAAAAAAAAAACGAATCAAACATTTTTTTTTTTTTTTTTGAATCATGTGTTGCATTCAAAATCACTTCAATGCCTTTGGCCGAATTTTTTCGTTGCTTTGTTTCGGAGCTTTTTTATACCCTCCACCATGGGTAGGAGGGTATATTAACTTTGTCATTCCGTTTGTAACACCTCTAAATATTCGTCGTAGACCTCATAAAGTATATATATTCATAATCAGCATAAAATTCTAAGACGATTTAGCGATGTCCGTCTGTCTGTCTGTCTGTCTGTCTGTCTGTCCGTCTGTCTGTCTGTCTGTCTGTTGAAATCACGATAGAGCCCACATTATTTGACGTAGACCTTTGAAATTTGGCACAAGTGTGTGTATTGTCCCTAGGATGGTTGGTATTGGAAATGGGATATATCGGTCCACGTTTTGGTATAGCCCCCATATAACGGTACCTCCCGATATTCGGTATTTTGATTATTTTTGCCACATTTTTCCACGGATTTGTCTAAAAATTGACCTTTGTAAGTCGTAATGGATTCTAGCTCCAGTGGGGTAACATTATATGTATGGGTCCACGTTTTCATGTAGCCCCCATATAACGGTACCTCCCGTTATTCGGTATTTTGGTGATTTTTACCACATTTTTCCACGGATTTGTCTAAAAATTGACCTTTGTAAGTCATAATGGATGCTGGCTCCAGTGGGGTAACATTTTATGTATAGGTCCACGTTTTCATGTAGCCCCATATAACGGTACCTCCCGATATTCGATAATTTGATGATTATTGACACATTTTTCCACGGATTTGTCTAAAAATTGGCCTTTGTAAGTCATAATGACTTCTAGCTCTATTGGGGAAACATTATATGTATAGGTCAACGTTTTCATACAGCCCCCATATAACGGTACCTCCCGTTATTCGGTATTTTGGTGATTTTTACCACCTTTTTCCACGGATTTGTCTAAAAATTGGTCTTTGTAAGTCATAATGGATTCTGGCTCCAGTGGGGTAACATTATATGTATATGTCAACGTTTTCATAAAGCCCCCATATAACGGTACCTCCCGATATTCGGTATTTTGATTATTTTTGCCACATTTTTCCACGGATTTGTCTAAAAATTGGCCTTTGTAAGTCATAATGGATTCTAGCTCCAGTGGGGGTAACATTATATGTATAGGTCAACGTTTTCATATAGCCCCCATATAACGGTACCTCCTGGTATCCAGTATTTTGATGATTTGTTGCCACATATTTCCACGGAATCGTTCCGATGATATGAAGATATTGATATTAAAAGTTTGTAGCGGGTGACAAAACATTCGCTGTATAGGTCCCCGTTTACTTTAGACTCCATATAACGGTACCTCCCGATTTTTGGTATTTTGATAATGTAAGTCGCAATTTTAAACGGAATTGGCCCAAATTTGTTATTTGAAATTTGTAACAAGTTCTTAATCCAGTGGCTAAGCATTATATAATATTCCGTTTAGTATTTGGGGTTTGCAATGGGGTATGACATTGTATTTATAGGTCTACGGTAGCAACAACTTTATTTGAGTATGTATAGCGCCTATATGATGGTTTATAAAAGTTGTTATTGTTTGTGCCACAAATTTAGGGTAATAGATTTTAGTTTATCGCCACAGGTAGTATGGTTGTGATTTTTATTGCCTCTGTTTGCTTGATCCTGTTTTTGTACTGTTTCTACAGGTAGTACAGAGTGCATTTTGGTAACAATAACATAATAATTAAATGTACCTGTGGGTTATATAATCAAAACTCTCTTAAATTACCAGTAAACAAAGGTTAACCATAATAATAAAACTAATGTAATATACCTGGCGGTAATAAAACCCTCCCACTCGTCAACTTGGTTCATATACCTGGTACTCTACGCAGATTTTTACAAAACATCTTACCTGGGCAGTAAGTATTTGTGTATATAATAAACCAACTCAACTTTAACAAATCAGTTCACAACGAATCGTTAAACAAAACATAACCTAATACCAACGAAAATAACTGAAAAGTTTTCTATACAGATTTAAAACTGTTCCAATTCGACAATCAATAATTATGCCTAAACTACGTAAACAATCGGCACTACAACGTCAACGAATTATGAGGCAACATCTTCACAGTTACCGTGAACGGAATTTAAATGACGATCGGCTCAGAAACTCTCAACAGTTAGCAACAAGGAGACAGGATCCTGAATATAGAGAAAATGAGCGAGAAAGGGATAGAGCAGCACATTCAACTCGGCGCCAAGCAGTAAACTATAGATCTGCGGAACAAGAACGGGATATTTTGGCACACTCTATTCTCCGAATGAATTCCAGTTATCGAGCAACTGAACAGGCGCGCGATGCTTTGGCTCACGCTAATCGAAGAATGGATCCAACGTATAGGGAAGAAGAACAACAGAGGGACACATTGGCCCATTCAGTTCGAAGGATGGATCCGACGTACAGGGAGGAGGAACAACAAAGGGACACGGTAGCCCACTCAATGCGAAGAAGGGATCCGACGTATCGCGAAGAAGAGCAAGAGAGGAATACACTTGCACACTCTATCCATCGGATGAATGCGACATTTCGGGAAGGAGAACAAGAGAGGGATACTGTGGCTCGATCTGTTCGGAGAATGGATCCAACATACCGGGAGGAGGAACAACAGAGGGACACTTTGGCCCACTCTATTAGGAGAATGGATCCAACTTACAGGGAGGAGGAACAACAGAGGGACACTTTGTCCCACTCTATTCGGAGAATGGATCCAAGTTACCGGGAGGAGGAACAACAGAGGGACACTTTGGCCCACTCTATTAGGAGAATGGATCCAACTTACCGGGAGGAGGAACAACAGAGGGACACTTTGGTCCATTCTATTCGAAGAATGGATCCGGCGTATCGTGGAGAGGAACGAGAAAGGGACTCTTTGGCAAGATCTATTCGGCGACAAAATGAAGAATACCGCCAAGTCGAAAGAGAGAGAGACACAGCAATGCACCGAGTACGTCGAAGAAATCCAGTTTTCCGTATTATGGAACAAGAGCGGAACACTTCAGCTCGTCGTGTCACCAGACAAGTTGCTATGCAAATGCAAGAAGCAGAAAACAGGATGAGAAGTTGCCGCGTCCTTATTCATCGTATGAATCCTACAAACAGAGAAAATATAAACATGAGACAAGCTCTGAGAAGTTCAGCAAGGAGAAGAAATTTGTCGCCGGATTCGAGGTCACAACAACAAATTCAAGATACTTTGAGGTGCAGAGCTAGGATAATTTCCAATTTTTGCAATATTATCAAGAGCGGACCCACAGAAGTTTGTATTTGTTGTGGAGGTCTTTGGTTTGTTACTCAAATTAAGACTCTCCGCAAAACATTTGTTCTACAAAAATACCCAAATTTAAGTACAGTTTTTTTCCTTTCAGACCAGTTTCCATCTGATAACGATATATATAAATTCTGCAACACATGCCACAAAATAATCAATGCGGGGAAGGTTCCTTCTATGTGTCTCTCAGAAGGTCTACATTTTCCAGCTATTCCGAGTGAACTTCAGGGCTTGACGTCGCTGGAAGAAAGGTTTGTTGCGCCACGAATTCCCTTTATGAGAATAGTTTCATTGGGTTATAATCGACAGTGTGCTGTAAGGGGTGCAGTAGTAAATGTCCCCATTTCACTCGATTCCACCGTCAACATCCTTCCAAGAACGGCCGATCAAACTGAAGTTATCCAGGTTCATTTGAAGCGAAGAATATCTTACACACACTATTTTATGTCTGAAACGATTCGGCCCGGCAAAATTTTCGAAGCAGCAAGATACCTTATTGAAACCGAATTGTACAGGAAACATGAAATTTGTATTTCATCTGAATGGTTGGCCAATATGGGTCCTGCTGATCAAGTGCCGTTTATAGCAAATTCCGAAGATCGAAGTCTATTATCGAGCGTCATTGATTTTAACTTAGATGAAGATCACATTGAAGAACATAACCCCCAAGAAACCCTCTTAGATTATATTCCAGTCGAAAATGTTCAAATTCAAAATATTGAAATAGCTCCTGGTGAAGGCCATAGACCCATGGATTTGCTATTAGATGAGGACTCTGAAGAGCTATCATTTCCCACTATATACTGTGGTATTAAAAGAAAATCTACAGCGACAATAGCAAAATTGATAAAATCTGAAGCCCGGCGTTATGATAGAAGATGTGCGCGGGTAGACAAAGTCTTATACTCGTATAAAAAATTAGAGTTTTCTAAAATCAAGAACAGTATTTCTACTTGTTTGAGGAAGAAAATTGGTACTCGCAATTATACTGCAACGGATGCTCTTAATGACCGGTTCATACAAAATATAGTGCAGCACGACGAAGGGTATCACATTTTGAAAGGCGTGCGGTCTTCTCCAGCACATTGGGAGGCAGAGAAAAAGAAGGTCTTGGCT